CACGAGAGAGTAGAACCTTACCTGAATTGCAAATGATCTCACAATCAGTAAAATATACGTATGTATGTAGAACAAGGAAAATAATAACCGTTCTGTACAAAGGAATTCTATTGTAGAATTTGAAAACCGGTGACTTCTATTGACATTCAAATATGGCAATGTTTACCATTTTTGTAATGAAAGTAAAAAGTGCGATAAGAATTTCAGAGGATTATATGCTTAGCTAAGAATACTTTAGCGCCCTCCTTGTTTTGGTGGCGTTTACAATAACTTAAATGCGATCACTTGCACGGTACAATGAAAACAATAATATCCGCTTGAAATAATTTCGTCGCAGGTTAATCCATCCGTTGAAAACAAGGCAACTAATCTTCTGCTATTAGAAGAGTATCCGTCTCATATTATTTCTTCAAGAAATAATAAACATATAAATTTTAACCTATCCCAAATAACATACATCTTTCACCGATGATTTAGCGCGTATGATGAATCAACAAACAAATTTTGTAGCATTCGATTTTCACTGTTCACATAAAAAAAGATTAGCAATCTACACTTCGAAATTTGTCTTTCTTTGTTTCTTATAATGTGAGTAGTTAATATGGTTACGCAAGTTTTATTTTAGAAATTATATTTATTATAATATTTTCTTCACAAAAGCGAACTAAATTTTCCAAGATGGCCGATTAAACGAGGCAATGAAAACTCCGCCAATCGAATGCGCCTCGTTTGACTTGCAAATCACGTTGCTTACGAATAACGAGCTTGTAAAATGTTGTAAGTGTTCGGGCACGTGCGTTAAAAAAATCCAAACGAGTGTCTGAAGGAGGCACGTACGTTCTGGTCGTCCTTATCGAGGTTTTCGTACGGAATTGCCCCTCTGGAATGTTTGTAATCAAAGGTGCACTATAATTATATATATTGCTTGACGTAACCAAAACATCGTTGTTTATCAGACACTTAATTCTAGATAAGTTGGACAAAAATGAGAGATACACGCGTTATTACCATATTTTTTATCTATTTTCATAAAAAATGTGAACGTAAATTTGCTCCAAGAAACTCGGAAATTAAATAGTTGAAGTAGAATTTTTAAAATCATCATTCTACGACTTAGTGATTTCTAAACATTTTGGAACGACGGACTTATATAATAATATTTCACATTTGCGCGCAAAAAAAGGAAAAATGTTTGTTCATAGATGTCCTTGAAATTACCGATGCTTGATTTTAAGTTTAAGTATTTATTATATATAAGTTTAAGTAATGATGCGTAGTTAAGATGCGTAAATCTATCAAGGTGAAATCTAATGAAATCTAAAAAAATATATTATATGAAAATGAATTCGCATTCAACACAGACTTTAAGGCAGCAATTAACGGATGATTCTTTCTCCCGATGAAGGTTTATATTATAATTGTAACCATCGTGATTTCATCCGTGATTTAACAAACTTACAATGGCGTCTGCGTAAGAGTAATGAATTATTAAAAACCTCTCACACTTGACTACCGAGTGTGGCATACTGGCTACTACTTGCCACGGAGAAAACAGAAATATATCTAGAAGTAACCTTCGATCATCGTTATTGATTCAACATTACATAAGTGCATCCTGCAATTGGATCCATTCATAACAAAGTACATTTAAGATTGTAAAATTAAATTATTTTTCGACTGACATCTTGTTACTGACTTCAAATTTTATTTACAAAATATGTTTTATAAGTTAATGGCGATTATCTTTATAAAGTAAACTATGTTATAATATACCCTGGTATATATAATATACCCTGTGATAACAAATGACGTCTGAAAAATGAAGACAACATCTATAGGGTAAACAATGCGAAGCAATAAACGTTATGAGCTTAATAAATTAATATCGACAGAAAATGTTTGATAACAAATGCTTGAGAGTCAATTATGACGGCAACCCTTTTAACGGCGTTTTTCATGAGTATAAACCACTGGTGTTACCTGGAAGCGCCCGACAACCAATGGAGAGGTCCATTCGTCTGTTTAGGTCTTTAGGCCTTAGGCGGCGAAGTGCGCTACGCGTCAGTCGATGTTTGCTCGTCCGTCGGTAAAGGTGTTACTAGTTCCGAAGCAAGAAGTTCCGTCAACTCGAAAACAACGTCGTTTCGTTCTACTAGAAAAGTTCGCACGCTAATCCACGATTAGATCAGTGCAATGCTTGTCTTGAGACGCGACGGTTCGCATCGCGAGCTCTCATTAAAAGTACCTGTGAGTGACACTAAATGAAACCACATAGAATATTTTAAAGTACTTAAAAATTACTTGAACATTACAATCGAGGAACTAATATTGATTAATCAGTCGAAATTGCGTCGAATAAATAGAAAGGTTATTTCAACGGCCTCCAATTGGAACATTGAACTTGACGAAAAATTTAAATTTCCCGCGTCTTTCGATGTACTGTAAAAGTGTTAAAAAAGAACTGCAAATATTTGTAGTTCAATTATAAATACTTTGCTGTGGAAATTTCGAGATCGAATTCGGTGATATATAGCTCGTTGAAGGAGAAACGAGATTGTGAACAGCCTTGAAAGGAGACGCACAAGTTCGGTCGAAAATAAATCATTTTCTACTCAGTGGCGACATATACCAAACTTCGCAAGAAACTTCTGAAATCGTTTCTGACGATCTTTATAGATGCAAAATCGTGCTTTCGTCATTTAACAGAAAATTTATTCGAGTAAGCGTCACAGGTGAATGAACAAAACTTTCGACGATAAATCAGAGTCAGTGATTACTTGCTCGCGTCCAGCTGCTGGCAGATCAACGTGAAATTAGAGAAGCGTAATAAACTCGCTCGAATAGCATCGCTTTGTCATCGTTCCGGAAGGGGACCGTGCATCGTTCTCCCCAGAAAAGTTGTGTCGCCGGAAGTGGCCCTGAAAACGTGCCAAATCTTCGATTTGAGGGAAAGCAACCGCGGTGAACGTGGTGACTGGGCTTACGTTCGATTTTTTCGGCCGTCGAATGCTAGAAAGGTGGAGAAGCGAAGGGCGGAAAAATGATTACCGTGCCGATATCCGCTTCCAGTCCTTACATGAAGGTTACATCCTACAGCGATGCAAGCGCTATTGGCAAAAAGCCTACAGTGAGTAGATCAAGAAACCATTCACAGTCTGATTTTTTACTTCGAGGTCATAAAAATTGGTTTTTTGTTCCATTCTCTTAGCTTCTGTTTCTTAATTTACTTATGTAAATTTTAAGATCGTGGACTCACTTATGAAGTTGAAAACATTCGACATTTAAAAAGTTTATTGGATTTTTGGACAATATTAGGTTTTAATGCTTATTTATTAATGTGGGGATGATAGTACCAATTATATTGATATTTTATTAATACAAAGCCGTAAGAATCGGTTTCTTGTTCCGTTCCTTTTTTTCCAATATATTACTTTCTTTGTGTAGATTGTAAGATCGTGGCCTGGTTTATCAACTTAATTAATATTTAAAAGATTTATTGGTTGAGAATATGTATGTATTAGGTATTATTGTTTATTTATTAACACGAGGATGATTATACAAATTATGTTAATATCCTATGAGTACAAGTAAATTGTATATTTATGAATATGACTGATTTATGAATGAGTAGGACTTAAATATCGATTTACTTTATCCTTGAAATACTGTAACCTCACTTTTGATATTTTGTATATCTTTGTATGCTGTATGTACTCTGTACCTGTACTTAATTTAAATTTCTAATACATGCGAAAACATGCTAACCAATCTATTAATAATGCAATATCATAGCAATAATAGTATACTATATGAAATAAAATGTGCAATACAAAATATACGACGCAGAACAAACTACAGTGCATAATAAATATCTTTATATATTTTTAAACACGCTGTAGATTAAATAAACTCTATATGAAAGTAAAAAACAAACCTAAAATTGATAGCATGAATCAATGTGATGCGTGCTATTTGGTCGCTACGCTCGTACTAAGTCATTTCTTCTTTCTTCCTTGCATTGTATAGGGATATTTTGGGTCTAGCAAAAATATAGAAAGCGCAGATCAAGATCTGACAAAATTTTCTAGGCGTTATATTTTAACATTCTTCTTCATTGATATATATGTCGGAGGCAGGTTGGCAGTTTGGGGCGTTCGACGAACCTTTACCGTCTTACTTTATCGTCGCGAACGTAGCCAATATTTATCAGTACGAATGTGGACGCTACAAGAGGCTATGAGGAATGGTAATAGGATGATCGAGATGATGGTGACAACGAAGTCAGATTCGATAACGAATCCACGGGAGGACTCGTATCAACGTGCTACTCGATTCGGGTAACTTCCCGATGACTCAATTGGCAATTTGTCCAACGACTCATTAACTAACTGACTAGCTCTAACTCTCACTCTAACTCTGTCAATCCAAAAGAGGCTGCCCTTATACACACCTGTTCCCGCTTCTCGGGTTAATCTTTGTTTTAAGGAGAGCCATATAATCATTTCATACCTCTGTCAGGTACATGTCCCTCCCGTGAGCGTGGCTACGTCCGGTGACCTGCCATGTCAGTTCGAGCCCAACCCCATCGTCATAACGTCAGATTGGAACATTAAGACTATTTCTTATTTTTATTACTTAAGGGCTGCTATAGTAAAAGTCTGGACTAGTGTATTAGGATTTGTCTCAATATTCCGGACGGGAAATCCCGCTGTCTTTCATTCTTCGACATATATATGTGCATGTATGTATGTATGTATGCATATCTATGTATCTGTGTATTCTAACAGATAATTATGGAAATGAAATATTCAATGTTTATTAATCCTCATTTGAAATTTACTAAAAACAAATGCGCATTTAGTGCTAGATAATGAAGAGTTCTAGGAAGTTTGTTGTTGCAGGAGATAATTGAATGATCTTGTATAAAGATATGTACTATGGGAATTATGAAGTTATTCTTTGTTTGTCTTATTGTGAATAGATTGAAATAATTTGCTATGTACTTATCATGTTGATGATTGTATTGTATCTTCCATTAAATTGAGGAAGAACTGTCGGTAATAATAATTTATTCCTTAATTATTATCTATTACTTGATGCATATAAATTCATTTTTAAGTTACTAAATTCATATATCATTAAATTTTTGTATATAATGTGTCGATGTAAATATTACATCGATTCATTTTAAATTCCACAAGAGATTATCTCAAATGGCGTATGGACAAAGACAAAATGAGACATTACGTGTCTAATTTTCCCGTTTTCTCCGCAGTCTCTGTAGTTCATTTCTTCTCCTTGCTCTTCCTTCTTGCTTTCTAAAACGGTGTCTATCATTTCTCGTATGACATTTGGACCATCATTCGCCCTATTTCTCAACAAACCTGCCAGTCCGATCTTCTCATGTACCACGTTAATCTTTTAATTAACCCTATAAAATGAGTATAATTTTCATATCATTATTATTCAAATTTGATATATTAATCACTAACAAAAATCTTTAATTTAGTGTTAGTTAATTTTTCTCAGATCCTTAACAAACACAGTGAAACGTGTTTCATAGTCAGATTAATAAACAAAAAATCATGTCTGTTTTCAATTTAAAAATTAATTTAAACGTTTCCCTAATAAATAAAATCATTATATCGTATTTCACCAGATCTTACACAGATAGATCGAGATGTATGTCATAGTCAAATTACTACCTTGAAATTCCTGGCACGATTCTTCATTATCTGGACCATGATAGTAGCACACAAAGGTGGGGATAATTTATACCGGAAGAGAAAATGTGTTTTTTCCTATTCTGAAATTCGAACAAACATTATCACGACGTCGGTCACTATTGATATTTCGCCACGAATATATCTAGTTCTATAACAGTAGTCTTAAACTCATGTCCGTTATTTATTCTTATCGGCTTATCAGGAGATTATTCGTCTTTTGCGACTAATCGCGTGCGCGACAGAGGATATTCGCTAGCCTGGAGGCTGTTTTCCTTTCTTCTCGTTTCCATCTGTCGTCGTTGGTAAGGCGTGTACGTTCGTGGAACCAGGCGTACCGTGGATCTAAATTTACAACAACGAACAAACGAGCAAGAATCCCAGCTCTCTGCCAACGTTCGGTTCGTCGAATGACCGTGTTCCAATTATTCCTTAAAAAATATCGGTTTTCTTAACGCAGATGCTTTTTACTTCTGTCGTATTATTTCTTACATATGACGCAGATTGGATGGTTCTTAAACGTTTAAGAATATCGCTACATTCTCGCGTCTGCTTTGTACGCGGTAGTGAAAGTTACGTAAAGTACTAAACGCGTCTGAATGGAGTTTGACGTAATTATATCTTGATCGGAACCGCTCACTACCACTATCGCCCCTAGCGGACGTTTTGTGCAATTTATCCATTTTAAATCCTTTTTCTATTCTAGAACTTACGACAATGCTAATTTCTATTTTATTAATGTGATCTTTATGCATTCCATTCTATTTGAATAGTTTAAGCTATTCATTTGCGTAAGAAATTAGTTTTTTTTAATTCAGCATTTGCCGGGAAAAGGACGGGATATTAGTGTAGAATGTAGTAAAGTTTTTTATTTTGAATCTATATGGTAATTATACTAGGCAGTTGATCTACCACAATAATGTTTTCCACAGGTATTTACTAATAACCTAAGAAACCTCGTGGTTTGTAATTTATGGAAGGTTAGAAAATAGAAATAGGACAAGTTCTTGACAACAGTTAGGAATTCCACGATTCATTTAAATTTAAATGACATCAGAGTGTTTGTATGAAAATTAGCGCCAAAATTATTTGTCGATTAGAGAGAGGATTAAATTTACAATTAATTAACGGTATGTTGTAAAACACTTTCTTAATCGTCTTACAGAGCAATTATTTCAACTTCTGTAGCAATATATTTTTCTTATTATTCAAACAAAATAATAGATACTCGTTTTTATAATTTAAATCGAAATAAAAATATTAAGATCAGACATAAAATACCTAACCGTAATAAAAATATAGAGCGAAAGATAGGTTATGAAAAAATTAAAAAATATTACAGACCAGCAATATAGGTAAACGATAAGTTTAGAAGATTTACTTCTATTTTCTTCTTCAATTCTTTGCAACTTGTTAGTTTCGTGCCGTGGGAACTTTACTCTCGAATTTACAAACCAAGAAACAGATGACCAGTAGAAAATTCTGAGATTGCATCGTTAACAAGAAAATAAATGTTATTTACTTTGACTGCTCACGCGAAGGTTGCTATGTACATATTAACATTTTATTTTATATTTATACAGCTAAGTAATCTTTTCATTAAAAAAGAAACAGTCGAAATTAGTTTTATAGTGTCGAATAAGAAATGCATTTTACGTGACCACATGAATTTTCCAACAGCCTTAATGTTTCTGCAGTCCGTATCTTGTCATTTCATCTTTCACATTCCACGTTCCACGTTTTGCATTCTACACTCAGCATTCTACAGCCTGCATTCTGCAAATTGTGCTCGCAAAAGTTACTAGAGGTATCTTCATGTCAGGTACAATGACAAACAGAGGTATTGGCATACACCAGATTTTTCTGTAAAATTCTGTCTACATAAAAGATTCATTATTCTTTATTTAACTCTTCCAGGATCGAACGTTTGTAGGGCTCTAAAGAAAACTTCTACTTTAGAAAAGGAAGAATGTATTTCTGTTGTTAAAAGGAGCTACAATTTGAAAATCGAGCTTATAGATCTATAGTACACGTCTGCATTTTCTAATCCAATAATTTAATTATTATGGATTTCCATTTATTTTGTAAACATAAAAACAATAAACTTGTAATAAAACTTAGTTAACATTAAAAACTATAACTAACATTTTTAATGCAATTTATTTAACTCTCCATTTCTATGGGTTTTGTGGAATTTTCTGGAAAATCCTCTGTCCATATAATTAAAAAATAGAACGCAGATAGAAAATTGTTTTAGCTACTCAGTATTCAGTGCCATATTTCAGATGTATATTTTTGTGCATTATATGCATTCTGTGCATTTTTGCACCTTAGAATTTCCCATAAATGCTAAAAAAAAGTCAGCAGTCTTATAATTAATAATAGAAATACATTTTCCTTAATAATTTTTTTTACAAAATACGTAATGGAATAGAATTTATCACCAGTTTTACCAAAAATAAAAACCTAACCTCAACCTAACCCCAAAAATAAAAACATCTATCGTTTACTTAATAAATAGATTATTAGAAAGCAATTGCCTGAAAGGTCTAAACTTTATGTAAAATGTCACTTTCAAATCTAAATATTGCACAGATGAAACATGCTGGTTGAAAACATCCGGCCGGATTTCTCCACATAATTCCAGTAAGAACCAGAATTTAGTAAATGTGCGATAACATAGAGGAGACGCTCGATCGACTTGTATCCGAGTTCCGTCACGAATTTTGCCGGTATCCAGGAGTCTCGTGCCAAAGTTATGGCATTTCGATCACGTACCAGTATCTCTGCTTTCACGATTCTTTGAATTCTCGATGACAACGGCAGGAGAAGGCGATAGTAGGACGAGAAGAAACCGAGTGTCTCAATGAATATCCACAACACAGTTTCAAACCAGTTTTTCCGTCTATGGATCCGGTGGTTGCCGCAAAAAACGTGCTTATTAACGCGTAATCGTGTTAGAGTGATTACAGTACTTTCTGCAACAAAGTGTCGATAATAAGGCGTAACGTTTGTTCACTGCTTGCTCGTAGGTATTATGTTACCTGTTCCGTCGACATGACTGCTTGTTTCGGGCTTAATGTTAATTTGGTCACGTAGACAGATACGTTGCATTCTTTCCCTTCCCCTTTTATTGCTGTTTCACAGTGTATGCGTACGTGCACGAGGTACGCTATGCATTCTTACGCTACTATCTTTTCATAGTTATCTTATAAGAGGTGTCTTGCTAGGTGTCTTATTATAAAACATTTACATCGTACTATTAGCTATAAATATCAGGATACCTACTCGTTGTATCTACTTTGACAAATACCATATTTAGTATTTTACATTATAACGTAGATTGTATTTATATTATTGCGATTTTATTATCTTATTATAATAAAATATTTAGAAAACAAAAATAATGGAAAGCAAGAGTTCTGCGAGAGTTCTGGTACTTATAGCCAGCACTGTATGCTTTTACCCAGAAGCAGGAACTGAAGTATTCTTTCTTCTTGTATGCAACATTTAAACTAAATTTATCTGATACTTGCACAATTTTATTGGAACTAGGAGTACCAGATTAGGAATAAATCACCAAATGAAAAACATTTGCATCTTATTTTGTTTTATGATGCACATTCAGTATATTTGTTTACATAAATTTGTTTTGATAAAGTTTGGCTGATACACATTTCACAATAGCACATTTGCTATTGCACATACGGTATATGTAGGGATTTTCTAACATGTTTACAGAGATTGCAGTATTTTTGGCCGGCTAGCAGAAAACATTGACCAGCAAGTAACTCGCTAATTTTTAAGTAATTAATTCAAAGAATGTGATATAATCGTTTTGGTAATAATGGAAAAAATCGTGAGTCAACAGATTTAGCAACTTGGAAAAGTATGATCCTGGTATTTAAATAACACAAGTGAAAGCTTGGATATTCGTGTAACGTTTGGGAGAGACAAGCTGTCTGCATATAATTAGACCCATTGAGTGCCATACATTTTTAGATGGATTCCTCTGAAATATTTCTGTTCTCGACCGCTGCCATTTGCATAGCAAATCTATTTGCAATAGCAAACGTGATTTCCTTCGTATTATAAACCAGATCAATTACAAATAAGGAATAATGTAAACAAAAATAAAATGTTCCTTGTATTTTAATCATTAAACTTGCTTATAAATTATGTTATAGGTGTTCCGCCACATTAGTTACAAGCTTGCTATAACGTCCATTAGCACACATTAATTAAAATCATATTGTATTAAGTTGCAAAATCAATTGATAGATATTAAAGTGTACATATACGATACTTTTAAAGGAAAGAAAATTTATGTGCATTTATTCATGGTGTTTGGCCTCAACAATTCTTATTTTAATCTGTAAAAGTGTCGGCAGACACGCGTGACGCATTCCACGACATTTCAATGGAAACTATGTCAACCAAGATCAAAGACCTTACACGTACGGTTATCGACACTATCCAGGTTTTCTTTTTTTCTTTTTTTTTTTTTTAGCGTCAAATCAAATTAAGTCTGGCTCCAGCAATTAGGATTTAATTATGGTCGACACATGGCACGTATGAAAATGTAGCTCCCGTCTCTTTTCACACTGCTGCTCCATAAATGAACGCTAGGGTGAAAGTATCTGTATAGTTTCAATGTTTCAACGCGCAAAACACTTGATTCTAAACATTAAGAATCTCTTCATTATTTTCATAAAAATAAATATTACTTCCTATGTATTTAGTTTGGTATATAATACATATATATATATGCCTTTAGAGCAGTATATTGTATACTGTACAATGTATAATCTAGTTCATAATATAATTTTTGGTATGCAGTGCATACTTTCATACAATACGTGTTATATAACTTTTTAATTATATGTATGTCTTCAGTTTCATCGAATCAACTTTCATAACAGAATTAATAGGTCTGTATTTATTGTCATTCATAGGAGATCTCTAATCGTCATAAACATGGTTTTCATTAAATTCCTATTCATCAATAATTAATGCCTGGTTGTTTGCATCGTAGAAGATTTACGTAATAACATGTCTACAGTAGTTGCTACTGAAACTCTGCAATTTAAAAAAAAAAAAAGAATGAAACGAGGGAGATTATTCTTTGAATTCCATGCAGTCCTTAAAATACACTTATGAAACACCTTGCCTTCGTTCCGTTCCAAAAAGTAATTGCTGTGTATATCTGGAATGATGAATGATTGCACGCGCGAGGCACATTCGTGAGCGATCAGAAGTTCATCAAGTGAGAGTTGCTTTAACAATCTCCGACGTATATCTTCACAAATTGATTTAAACTCCTGATTAGTTCTACAGAATCCTTCTTAATTCCTTGGTGTAAGAAACTTTAATCAACGATTGCAATAAAATATATGTTAAGTAAATATATTTATATACAGGGTGGTTGGTAACTGCTGGTACAAGCGGAAAGGGGGTGATTCTACGCGAAAAAAGAAGTCGAAAATATAGAATAAAAATTTTTTTTTATTTTGTTTTTTAAATTTGTCTATCTAGAAAACGATCTACAGTGAGATCCGTTATAACGAGACGTGATGAAGTGCACGCGTACCGAGCCAAAATTCAAAGTCGATTTTCTTGAAAACAAAGCCTCGAACGAAAAATTTTTATTCTATATTTTCGACTTCTTTTTTCGCGTAGAATCACCCCCCTTCCGCTTGTACCAGCAGTTACCAACCACCCTGTATATATCAAAGTTATAACTAGGCTGCGGATTTTTATGTAAATTCGTATTTTTATGGAAGTAACGAAAAAAATGGGACTTAGGCATAAATTTGATTCACCTTCTAAATACCGTAATAAAAAATTTTGCGTCGGAAGTTTCACGTACTTTCGGTACGTTAGGTCTTTGCAAATTTAAAAATCCATAGTCGAATCATAAACTACGTGTAAAAAATTGCAATCATGAAATTAAAGAATCTTTCAAATCCTTAAAAATGTCGAGGTGGTAGCTCTGAAATAATCATCATATTGCAATAATTTCGAACATTTCTACTGGAAAGTTACGCGACATCATTCCCATTCCACTCACACTGAGGAAATATCCCTGTAGATAGCAGAAATCCGATAGTTGAAAAAAGAATATCATCCATCGTTGACTTCACAACGAAGATTCCATTCACAGACACGAGATCCGCGCGTGCAGAGGGTCTCATTAATTCTTGGCCGTGAAGCGCGTTGGAAAAACGGACGGAAACGATTTCTCCGCTGCGCCTTTTCTCACGATCGTCGATCATGCGAGCGCCCTTGGTCCGGGAGCACAGCTTACGAAATACCCGTTACCATTTAACTACAACTCGATGAGGCGGTTCATAGGGTCTTCCTCGGGAATATTCAATCTAATTTTCCACGTGCACTCAATCGAGCAGCGTCACGATGCAAAACCGTGCTTCTTTTGATGATCACGCGTGCTTTCATATTTCGAATTGACGATGATCAATTGGTAGTGGACGGAGCGAGTGTCAACAAAGAAGATGGAGAATCGCGACAGATGTAGCGTGCACGAGCGCTTGAAGACCTTGTGAAAATTTCGCGATTATTCTCGGTGATGGTATTTATAGCTGAAACAAGAGAAGATTCAATGAATGCGAATATTGAAAAGTTAAATGAGATTTATTGCCATTATTCGTCGAAAAAATTAAGCTAGAAAATACTAGATATATCAGGAATAATAGAGAATTAATAGTTTTATAATTCTCTTCTTTTTTTAAACATTTATTCAGCAGATAACTGATATGACTGACTGAGATGACGTTATATGTCTGATATGGTCACATGTGATGACGGGAAATAGGTTATTTATATCCGATCCAAGTATCCTCTTATTAAGAATGATTAAGTCCTGAAGTAAAGACGACAGGAAGTTAGTTTTCTCGCGATCCGTTAAACCGTTACTTTATAATTAAATATATATCTGTCTGCTAATGTATATTCGATGTACATACATTAACTAACTCGGTTATCTAGGCACATTTCTGCATTTGCTGTAATTCTTTTATGACCATTCATTTTCCATTACATCTAAAAATATAACACGATATGAGAAATTTAATCGATCTATTAGAAAGCTAGAACACGTCTCTTCAACTATGCAATTGTTTTCTATGGTCATTCATCACCGTTTAAATAATTCAAAATAGAAAAATAGGAAAGTAAAGCAAATCCTACAACTACATTTTAATATGCATTCTTGCTAAATTTACATTCTTCCAAGTCTTCATCCATAAAATTTAAAAAAAGATTTGTAGTTAAGGGATGAGAATTCATTAAGATAGTCCAGTTTCAATGTCGCGTTGCTATTCATCGTCTTGTACAGATTACAGTCAATGTGTATCAAGTGTCAGTCGTACATATTTTACAGTATGAGAAAGGGCCGGCCGGATAATAAAAAGAAAGCTTGTCTGGTAATTGGATAAAGGAAGCCCCGCCGCTTTGTGCCGATCTGTGTCAGCAACTACGCTAGCGAGATTCTCCTGTCGCAGCTGAGAAGACCTCTTATGGTCGTCGAGATAACCACCCGTCAAGATAATCTTCTTTTCATTGATACAAATTGTTCTCTGATCGATCGGGTCATCCGACGTATTTTCGGCTTGCTAATCGTTCTCGATATATCGCGTAATCGAGACCTAGCCACAGTTTGCATAATAAATTGTTTGCTCTTAACGTGGCTCATAACGTCAGCCACGTTTATACCGAAGATCGATGATTGCTTGCTTTTCTCCTTGTTTTCCCGAACTCTCAATGATTATAGGATTCAACTTCTTTTGTTTTCAGCTTTTTCCATATTTTTAATCTTTCTCTCTATTTCTTATATAAATGCACGTGTTCGTTAATAGTATTAGATTGTAACATAAATAAGTTCGGTCGATAAATATATTGAGTTTATCCGAACTTACTTATGTTACAACCCAATACGTACACATACTTTTTAGTGTCATTGTACGTATCCATCATAGTTCGTAAATGGCAAAGAACTCGCGTGTCTCACGCGAGATTGCTCATGAAAATTGGTGTAACAGTGTAACCTAACGCTTGGGCAGCCTCCAAGGTAACGCTTGGATGAGCTCGTTGTATGAAGAATTTGTCGATGCACGAACAGTTCGTTATTTCTTAGTTTGAAATTCTACCTTAGTACACGCTGGTAGCAGCACTATGCAAGTTGTATTTGCAGGAGAAGCCGTTTACAAAATATGATAACGTATCGCATATGCATTTCAGAAGTTCAATCAGACAAGTTCTTCACGAGACAAAAGCAAGAAAGCTATTTGGAAGCTTACAAAGAAAGCTATTTAAGAAACATATAATGTTAGCGATATTATGGTGTCTAGGAAACAATAGTCAAATATTATTTTTGTAATTTTCCATTCCTCGTGCTTGAAACCATGCTTTGAGAGTTTTAACATTCTTCTAACACGGAATTTAATTATTTTGAAATGCATAAGGAGAGATGCTTTTGAGTTATAAGAAAGTTGTCTCATAAATCGGGATAATGTAGATGTCGCACTAGTTCAATGGCGTTTTATTATTGTAAATGACTTACCGATTGATCTTCTTAGATTCTAGATCATTAAATGGTAAACAAAATACCTATATTTAATTACTAGACTGCGAATGTTTATGCGCATTCAGACATGCGTTTATAAACATAGCTATAGAAATGACATTTGTTTCGTCTTTAAATATTATATATCGATCACTGATTTATACAATAGTAGTTAAAAAATAGGAATAAAAGCTAAGAAAATATAATAAAGTCTAAGAATGAATGATAAACAAACAATGAATCTGAAATTGTTTAAGAGGAAAGAAAAATATAAAAGAAAGAAGAGAAAACCATGCGGCCGGCGAGTGCTCTCGAAACAAATTTATTTTGGTCCACGGCCATCGGCCACGTTTGGACCACGCTTTCTTGCGAAATCGGTTTGTATATTAACGGTGCAGTTAGGATGCTACATCCTGGATTATTTCTGGGAAATTTCTGACAAATTTTTACCTCGAAAATATATCGTCAATATATAACGCATAGGTGATGCACGTACACCACACTCTAGTGTTATACAACAGTGCGAATTATGCAAATCGATACATTACTATGTAAATTGGCGAGCTTTGTAACTAAATTGAAAGGAATCTATTTAAAAACCGTTTAAATCGGTTTTCTCCATAATTTTTAATAAAATACATTCTTTCTTTCGTTCGTAATTATTTAATTATAACCTATAAATCTAAGATTAAAATAAAATGTTAAATTTATATAATATGTATTTTCCGTGAGAATTTCGAACTCGAGAATTAAAGACACGATTGTTGTCTGTGTCGCGTGACAAGAATTAATTTACAACTTAAATACCATGATGTCATGTCACGAGAGAGAGATTGCAATTCAATGCTTCGCTTTGTTTCCAGGTTCAACAATTCCTCAGAAATATGAAGGAAAGTCGGGATGTCCCTCAAAGATCGCAAAGTAGCGCGGCCAGCCTAACGTCCCTAGGTGCTGACATATCTCCAAGTTCTTCCCATTTCTTTGAGGTGATTCTTCGTGTTTCTTCTTTCTTCTTTTTCTCCTTTAAACGCTTTTTATTGCTCTATACATCTATGATAAGTATAAATGAATAAAAATAAATACAAAATGAGATTATTTAAAAATAAAATTTGTAGACTATAAATATACCTATTAGCACTTCTGCTATTAATATTTGTAGCAGCTTCTAAATATATACACTTTAATTAGAGCAATAATGATCTTTAAAAGTTAGAAGTCCTTGACCTCAGTTTTAATTTAGATACAATTTTTCTCACTAAATAATTTTCTTTTAAAATACAGATTAATAATCGATAACTTTTAGGTACTCTATGTGGGGAAAATCAGAGTGTCGCATCCAAAGGTATCGGAGGGCTTCATAGACGATGCGTTAGTAAGATTTCGCGTTCACGGTCTTGAAAAATCGAGACCGTCGGTGACTAATTTTCTTTCCGAGAGTCAGCGTCAATCACTTTTAACGTCCTCCAATAACAGGAGAAATAGCACGGTAAGTTATCTTTTCCTAATTCTATACTAAATTATACATATATTCTAATTATAATATTTATTATAATATCATTATAATTGTACATGTATATTAATTATAATTCAAAAAGTCAGTATATTAGTTAATATCAAGAAACAATTTTTACTTCAGGAATCTAGTGCTAGTGAGATCGAAAGTATAGAAAATGTCTCCGGAAATGGGGTCATATCGCCCGTTAACTCGCTGGGTGTACCGTCAGCACTCACGGGTTCGGTGGAAACGTTTCCAAAGACACAGAACCCCAATCTTGCCGAGAAAGAGGAGCGCGAGGAGAATCGAGATGTTACAAACAATAATTCAGTGCAAGTACCGGAAGTTATGCGAAACCGGGCTTCCTCTACGGGTAGCGTGTTGAATGCCAGGAGGGATTCCATGGCGAGAGGGGGCGACGAACATAATCGCACGATGCTCTTCCAGGTTTGAAATGATTCGATATATATATTACATATAATAATAATAATATATATTTTATTATATAGAATCTGTATTGAAACTGATCTGATCTGACATTGAATTTCAGGTTGGCCGATATGATTTGAGATTAATCAGCCCGGATAGGAAGCTGGTATTGCTTCACAAGCAACTCAGAGACGTGGCGAGTTGCGTGCAAGGCATCAAGAACCCCGAGCACTTCGGTTTTATTTGCAAAGAGAATAACGTGGATTTTTTTGTTGGCTACGTATTCAAGTGCCAATCGGAATCCGTTGCAGATGATCTTGTCGCTGGTAAAATGAGTTTCTTATTCTTTATTGATGGCTTCTGCTACGATGAAATAAATCCGGCATTGCAAGGAGAAAGTTCCTATATATATATATATATATATACTTCTCACTTCTTTTTTATTAATTAATATAAGAAATTAAACTTTATATTGGCTAACATTTGGTAATAAATACATTAATCATTTTTCAGTGTCGATTTCAGATAAGGCAGATTCCATCACTAATAGAACACCCTGTATAAACAACTAATAATGTAGAAGTTCCATTATTTCTAATCAAGTACATCTAATCTAACAATATAAAAATACATTGAGATATCAGTTTACTAAAATCAAACAATCTAAAATCATATACGTATTTTTTAGCTATTTCACAAGCGTTTGTTGGAACGTGCGAAGTTTCAAGGAAAGACCGATATTCCGTGTTTTCATGCGAACACTGCCCCATGTATTGGTATAACAAGTTATGCCAGGAAATCGAAGGTAATTTACGAGTATACTTATGTCTTGTCTCCCTTTAATTTCCAACAAAATTATGGGACGAGTAAGAAGTTAGCATGTTCTCCTGCGGATTTTAGGACAGAATGACAGGAGGACCCAGAATATAATTTTTTCGCGGATGGAAATGCTGCCGGAGGACGAGCAAGAAATCGTCGTTAGTAAATACAAAAGTGCTGAGGCCGCCGGCGGTACAGGGACATCTTTACGCGAGCAAAATCAATTTTTAATAAGACTGTTGCGTGCTCATTGCGAGACGAAACAGGCTAGGCACGTTCATGACACAGCCGAGAATAGGTAAGATTTCTTTTAAGAAAAAGTTTCTTGAAATGTTTATTAAAAATACAATTTTTACTTATGTTAACAATTCAATCTAATCTATAATATATTTCAGGAGTGAATTTCTTAATCAATACCTAGGCGTAGGTGTCGGAAGCACAATATTCATGAAAGCGAAACGCTCGCTTACAAATAGTTTTGATAACCTCATAAAGAGAAAGGGTTCGCGGGATGACCTTGGACTTGGACATTTAAAAGATATAAGCCACCTCAACACTGTGATACAAAAAAGCGGTAGCCAAAGCCCCGATATGTCGCGACAACCGTCCATGGCAGATATTTCGCCGGATTCTAGTAGACCCAAATCTTTAAGGGTTTCACCTGAACAGCAATTGACTGTAAATACTGGACCAAAGAGTTCTATGATGGATATGTATGTATAATTTTTGACAGTATGTAGTTTATAATTACAACTTGAATTTGTTTTATTATTTTTATGATATTCTTTAATAGATTCCTGAAGGTAGGAAATTCACCAAAAATGTCTCCAACTGAGACAGATGGAAACAATTCGGTACAGTCAAATGGCTCATGGAGACAAGCTATATTGAATCGAGTTGTAACTCCCAATAAAGATCACGAAAAAGAAAGCGATAAAACAGGAAATATTGGCGTCATCAAATCGCCCCAGGCGACGGCGACGCGCAGAACGAAACAAGAATTAAGGGATCTGTGGAAGAAAGCTATCAATCAGCAGGTGATACTTATACGAATGGAGAAGGAGAACGCGAGGCTTAGAGGTAATATAATGCAATATTTAATAATATACTATTTAATATCCTTTTCTGAATAATAGAGAAATACTTCTTTCAACTTGTACATAAAAATGTACTTAATTTCAGTTCGTCAAGAAGAAGCGACTGTTAAGAGAATAAAATTGGAGTACGATGAACTTAGCACTTGTGGCCGCGAGTTAATGGAAGTATGGGACCTTTTAGTAAGCAAAGAGTCGAGGATCTCTACAAAATGTGATAATCAAATGCTTTTACATGCTATTAAACAAGGTAAGTGATCATAAAAATTTTAATATCAAGATATTTTTAGATATAATGACTTAACGATTTAATAATTATTCATATTGGTACAGGTGTACCAAAAGGCAAAAGAGGAGAAGTATGGCAATTTTTGGCCGAACAATTTTGCTTGAAGCAACCTCCAATAGACACGCGCGACTTCCCTAATTACAATATACCATACGATTTGCTTTTGAAACAGCTTACGTCCCAGCAACATGCAATTTTAATAGATTTAGGACGAACATTTCCAAACCACCCGTATTTCAGTTCACCTCTAGGACCTGGACAATTAGCTTTGTTCAATTTGCTGAAAGCTTACTCGCTTCTGGACCATGAAGTTGGTTATTGTCAAGGTCTCAGTTTCGTAGCTGGCATTCTTCTTTTACACGTAAGTTTAAATATTTTTAATTTTTGTTATTTTATTAATTAGTATTTAATTTTTATTAATAAGCATCTTTTTCTTAAAATATCGTTTATTGTTAATAGATGTCAGAAGATATAGCGTTTTTCCTTCTACGACACTTAATGTTTCGAAGAGGCCTAAGGAAATTGTATCTTCCTGATATGGCAGCTTTACAATTGTACCTGTATCAATTATCCAGGTTGTTGCACGATAGATTGCCTGCGATTTATAATCATTTTGACAAACATGAGGTTTCGCCCACATTATACGCTGCACCATGGTTGCTAACTTTATTTGCCAGTCAATTTCCACTTGGTTTTGTGACTAGAGTTTTTGGTAAGTACAACAAGATGAATACAAATTTATACACACGTATTTATTTTTACAGTTTCAGGTATTTATTTTTTATATTTATTTTTATAGATTTACTTTTCTTGGAAAGTACTGAGGTACTTTTCAGGGTAGCTATGGCGTTGTTAGAAGAGCACCAAGATCAATTATTAATGTGTGACAGTTTTGAAGAAATTATGGAATATCTCAAAGTATGAAAAATTCTTTTTTTTTAAATGAAGCTCTCGGATATAACTATAATACCTATGTTCCTTAATTTTTGTTAATTATAGACGCGCGTACCAGCTGTAGATAAAGAAATTCTGGACCGTGTTATGAAACGCGTGTTTTATCCGGATCAAGAGATTACGAAGCAATTGAACGAATATAGAGTGGAATACCAGGTGTTACAGGAAGAAATGATATCAATGAAACCGCAAATGGAAAATCTAGAGAAGTTAAAAGTACTTAACAAGCAACTTACGCAAGAAGTCGGTCAGCTCAATGGACAACTTGAAGTAAGATCTTTAAACATTAATCTTGCTTAAAAACCATAAGGTTTTACTGTTTCTAAAATTAAATAAATATAATTATAATCACAGATTACTATGAACGACTTGCACCGTTTGGAGACAGCAAGATCTATGCAGCAATCGACCCTGCACAAACTTGAATCTCAGAATCGCAGTCTAGAAGTGACTGTTGCCACATTGGGCGCATTTATACAACAACTATCTGAAACTCGCCCAGACATCGAATTTCCTGGTGAAGTTCGTCGAATAATCGCTCAGTTAAGCATCGCTGAGAAACGAAGAAGCACACCCAATAGATTGTACTCCCTAAAAGTGCTCGAGGATAATAATAAAATGGGAATGATCAAGAGTAACTCCGCAGGAAGAGAATCTCAAAATTTGTTAAAAAATAATAACGTAATGGATACTCCGTACCCTTTAAAATCCACGTTGAGCCAACCAAACTTGGCTACAAAACTGGAGAGAGTCTCGTCGTTCTTCTCAAACTCGCATAATCATATTCAGAAGCAACGAGCGCAATTGGCCGCTCTTAGGAATGAGTATGCGAATGAGCAAGGTATTAGAAATGACGAAAACGATCCAAAAACCGTCAATATAGATATTCGGATCACTGATACGGTAAATTCAACCGAAGAGCAAAACATGGTGCAAGACGATAATCACTTGAAGATCCAACAAGTCAATTTGGAGAAATCGAGTTCGCTGCCATTAAATTCTAAAATGAAGTTAAAGTCGTCGAAATCGGCTTATGAGTTAGGATCTGTTCAAAAAGTACCAATTACGAAATTGGAAGTTACAAACGATGATAACGTGGCGAATTTAACTGGAACGATGCATCCTCTGGATACCTGCAGTGATGTGAATTTTAGATATGGAGGAACAACGAAATTGAAGTCGATAAAATCAACAAGGTTATCGAGCCCAAGCGGCCAAGATGAAGGTATGAGCAAAAACGCTCAGAACCAGAACATAGAGACGTTGAACAGATAACAATTGCTGATGATGTTGCGCTCAAGGAAGATGCCTTGGAAGGTAACTAACTTGAGAAAGGTCTATCCAAAAAGCTAACGGAACAGTATCATAATTCATGTTTTACTTCCACATTTCATGCACGTGTCCTCTCTTGTATACAATTTTTTGATACAACAACAATCAATTTTTATTTTTTAACAAGAGCTCGGTCTACAAGAGGTGGACTGCCGATCAAAATATGCTGAGACTCGCACTTCCCTTTTACTTATACCAATGATTTTAATACCATGCGATAGAGAACAGAAAAGAAGCAAAACTATATATAACAAAGAAGTCAATTTATAATATTTAAAAACTTGACGCGACTTTTGTGTGCGCGTATGCCTGTGTGTGAATGTATCAGTATCAGATATAGTTGAATATGTTCATACGTATATATGTATATACATAAACAAAAAACTTAGAGAAAAATTAGGAAGAATAAGTACAGCAAGTTAATAACTATCAAAAATATTTGAATGTAAGAAAGAGTAAAAAGGAATATTTACGTAAATATAATAAATAAACTGCTGACAAGAAATTTGTTTAAAATGACAGTAACATAGAAAATAGTTTCTATTGAATTTTGCGAAGTAACAGAATTGTAGATAATTATAATTTATTGGTGAATATTATTTGGCAAAATACATGTTACTGGCGTAAACTAAATTTCTTAGAATCAAGCAAATAGAAGTCATATCTGTATCAAAATGTACATTAGATTATTACAAAATTGATAGGAATTCATTTAAGAAATAAATATTGAATTAAAGGAATAAACGTTGTTTGTTCGATTAATGATATATTTTTTGTTGTTAGTACATAGTTGCCCAAAATTTTTATTTATCAAAATAACAAATTTCAGCGAGCAGTAGCCCTAATAGTAAGTTAACTTAAATTTTTGACAGGATTTCAAAGTTACTCAAAAATTCTTAGCTAACAATATAAAATATACCGCTGCCTTAATTTAAAAAAGTATTTTCAAATAATAGTTTTAATAATAATTTTCTAAACAATATATTTAAAAGATTACTGTTTTTAGTTACGAAGAATTCCTATTACTTTTGTATAAATCATCGAGAGAAGTGCCAAACTTTCTAGAAAAGAAAACAAATTTTTTTAAATTGTATATAACTAGTAGAGAGGAAGTTTTCTAAAACATATATTGAGATGTAACTGTATCGTGTATATTCGAGACATATTTATAAGATGTAATTTATATAATTATTGTGCACTATGTAAGATTCGAGAAATTATCAAGTATTATTACTATTTTTGCACAAAGAAAAGCCTTGTGATATCAGGGATACTATATACTATGTACTATAATCAATGCCGTTCAACCTTCTCATAAAGAGAAATCATTTTTTAAATACGAAATAATGACGTTGATATTTTGTAAAAATACTCAAATTGATATCAGTAGCGAATCATGCTGTCATCATAATTGATCAAGACTTCTTTCATTTAGCAAGCCCATAAATATTTTTAATCTCATAATAATATATTGTACTAAATAAAAAGCAAAAAGATAAAAACAGACAATGTTCAGTACGTTTGTACAGTAATTATTAGAAAGGATAAAATATTTTGTAGTACCGGAATTTCTACCTTCCGAATAGCAATTTGTACAAGTAGATAATTAGGAACTTTAATCGTAAATTGTGATGAATAATTAAGAAGTAATGTTAAAATATTTATAGCTTTTATGCACATGTTACTGTTAGCATATAGAAATCGTATTATTCTAATGTCGATATAAATAAGATATAATTGTGAACATCGTTTGTTCCCTACACTTAATTTTATTGTGATAGCAGTCAATTTATTTGATTAAAAACTAAGATGAAATATTTTAAGTATATAAAGTATCATTATCGAAAAAAACTGTGACAAAATATGAGTTTATACTGTTTTATATATACCGAGAGAATGTAAGTAATTTTCTCTGGTAACTGTATCGATATGTACATATATTGAAGATTTCATATATCAATTGAGCATATCTGACTTATAATGTAAGCAAAGCCTTACAAACTTGTCTGTAAAATATAAACACAATATTTCAATCATATCATACGCGAAAATTAAAATTGTAATGTTCCCGTATAACAGAACCTTAAAAATAAAATAAATAATTATATTATTTAAAAAACTAATGATCTTTTCAATTAAAAAAGAAAAGGGTCCAAGAAAGATTAGTTGTCTTTGTAAACTCACAAATGTTATTTTATTATCGTGTAAGTAGATTAACAAATTAAAGGAAAAATGTGCAAGTATTCACTTTCCAATGTACTATTCTGCTGAAAAAGTGTACTGACAAGGGATTTTTCTCTGCCACAATATTATATACAGTTCTTACAGAAATTAGCTTTAACTTAATGCTTTGACTTCGATATGCTAGTCCTGAAAAAAATATTCATAAGTATTACGAAATTAACTTTTAATTAATATCTACTAGAGTAATATAAAATTGCTTTACGTTTGCATTTGTTTGCTTCCACTGAGTACTATATATGGCGACTGAGTTTCTTTTTGTTTTGCTTGTAATAAATTAAGTGTTCCTAGAGGGGTATCTGTAGATGACATTCGTTTCATTAAAACTTCTTGTTCTGCTTTTTTCATTCGTTTCTCAACCTATAAATTATGAAGTTATGTTTAGTATCCACTTTGCAGTTTAAAAAGGAAAGAGAGTTTTAGATAGGATAATAAATAAGTTGACCTTATTTTTTCCTGGACCTTTCCCATGAAATTTATGTGAGAGATATCGGAAAGCTTCCTTTGCACTTAAAACATGACCATCGTCATCGATGTATTCCAGCTTGACATTTGGTTTGAAACCATCCTTCTCTTTGAATTCTGACGTTGGACCATTGAAACGATCCCTTCTACCAAATTTATCATCGTCTCTAAAAAAACAAAGATAAAAACAAATAACAATAAACTTCGTTCAAGTGTAAAAATTGATTGTAGCTCATGGAATTCGGTGTTTCGAAATTTACGTTACCGCGAACAAAAAAATGATTAAATTTCAAAGATACATTACATTATGCGATTAAATTAATACGAATCTAAACAAGTCGATATTAACTATCGTAATCAATAATATATTCTTATCAAAGATATACTTAAGTTTAACTAATTATATGTATATGTATGTATTAAATTATTTGTTATTACTTGCTCAAAGAAGATTAACTTTTATAACATATTTGATAAAACGTATAACCATAAATGTGAAAAAGGATTTCAGTTCAAACCAAGATTGTATAAAGTCCGTATCCTAAAGGTTATTTTATTACCCATATTTAAACATGCATGTATAGAATGCAATAATACAAAATTATACTGTGATGTGTATATAGTAGATGAACTTTTTTTCTTGCTAATTATATTAATGCAATTTCAATCCATACTTGGACTTGTCTAGAACGCTCGTACAGATCTCGCTTGGTACAGTAGAATCGCATAATATAAACATACCTCTATCAATCCTACTCTCTTCTTAGGCCTTTCATCATCTCCAACAAAGTAGTTAATCTCGTTGCGGTAGCAGATCATCCATTTTCCGAGCACCGAAATCTGAGCTCTCTATTTACGACTGTTAACTAACAGTTTGAAATTCACTAGAGACTCGTCTAACAAGGTTCGTTGGTATGCATTCAATAGAAGAATATTTCTCACATTTGTTTCTCTTTCCAAATATGTAAGAAAGCTTCTTGTATTGAATGATAGTTGTTCCATACATACCCATAAGTCTTGTCCTCTATCGAGTAATTCTGAGCTTGTAGATGTGCGAAACGAGACGCAGATGGTCTACTACTATCTTCTTTTTGCAAATAACCTTTGCTCATAGCAAGTTTTAACGCTCCACCTACGCCATGTCCGAGCGAAGGTTCTGCATCTAAAATCGCGGCTTCCATTGCTACTGGTTCTGATGTACTTTCATCTGTTCATAAAATATAAAAGATTATACACAATGTAAAAGATCAAACAATCTGCTTGGATGTTAGAAATACCTAGGTGCACGGTATTCCATGCGCCACGGCCATCATCTTCATCCTCGTTTGCAGGAGGTTCCTCTTTGACTCCGTCCATTTCAAAGTCCTGCATTTTTTATTAAAAAAAGAAGGAAAGGAAGGAAAAGGAGATTAGATAATACCATTTCAACAGAAATATAGTAATAAAACATTCAATACCATCAACTCCTGTCCATTTTCTTCTCTATTTCCAGCAAGACCATAAGTAGGAATGTCTCCTAGTGTTCTACAAAATTCTGCAGTGGCGTTAAGAACAATATTTCCAGATTGACTCTCTTCAGAACCCATAGACTCCTGTTTTATAGTTTCAACAACTTTTTCGATATTTGATAATTGGGATTCTTTTAGTTTTTGAGCCTTCTTCAATGCTAATTGTAATTCCAACTCTTTGTCATCTTCTTCCAATTTTATTCCACTGAGATCTTCAGTGGGAGCTTGAGGATGAAGAAAAATTGGCTTATGTATTTTTAAACAGTACAATAGTAATATAACAGTATAAATAATTAATATAATTAATAGTAATAATTAACGGTACATAATACGCATAATAATAATTAACAGTACAACAGAGGTTCAAATGCTAAAAAGTAATTATAATCTTTAAAAAAAATATACTAAATACCTCCCAAATCATCTACGTCCAAAACATCGTTTTCTTTTACGTCCTCGGTTTTTTTGGCTCTCCTACTTCCAAGATCTCGAAGATAATCATTGTCTTCAGGAATTAAATCTTCTGCTTTTAATTTCTTTCTAATCTTTCGAACCTAAAATAATATGACAAAATATTGAGCTTGTGCATTATGTAAGACATAGCATAAAATCTTGATTTCACAGGATTACCTTTTTCTTTGGCTTCTTAAATTTCGCAAGTTCTTCTTCATTATAATACTCACTAGCTAGTTTTGGCTCTGTTAATTGTAATGATTCTAATCGTTTATTGGCTAAACGTTGTTTGACGTAGTCAAGTTTGTTCTGTTTCATGTCTTTGATGTTATTAATTCCCAGTGTGAAAGTGTCTTTTTTCGTTCCTCCAATCTCTTCGTCATATTTTTCCAGAATTGTTTTCTTCGGGAAACCGAATTCATCGAAGTTATCGTCATCGTATGCATCGTAACCAGGCTTCTTCGTTTTATTGAAAATATTACGTTGATAACGTTCCTCGTCAGTTATATTTACGTTAACAAGCACATCTTCGCCTTCTTCTAGCACTTGTCGATCTTTTAGCGTTAAGATAAGTGTTTTGCCTTCTTCAAATTTCTCCTGTTAAATATCATTCAATTGCTATAATTTTTAAAAATATAGATAAATGTAGGTACTTACAATATTGTGCTCCACTTTGAGACCCTTTAAATTTTTTTCAGTATAAGCCGTATTACGTGCAGCATGAATTTCTTCTTTAACCAAATTTCCAATTCCAAATTCTTCATCTAACTGATCTAACATTTTTGCCTAGCATGAAAATAGAAAAGATCAAAACATTAATTATAAATATGCTAACTGAGTAATATACATTTGGAACACTTTGAAAATACCCTTTCTTCTGCTTTTTTCTTCTCTTCCTCTAAACGTCTGGTCTTATCAATCCAATTTCTGGTATCATCATCAGATTCGCATTCTCCTAAACTTTTTACTTTAGCTAAATTAGCCTCAATTAGTCTCTTCTGTTTCTGAGTGCCAATCTTTTCTTTTAATTTTTGGGTCTTTAACTTTTCGTTAACATCAGGAGCAGGCTTGTGATAAAACTCTCCCAAGTCATCCTTAATCTTATTCGGATCATCTTTTGGTCCACTATCAACTTCTAATGGTTTTAAACCTAACTTTGCTCTTAACTTGTTAGTTTCTTCAATCGATAGAGAGGTTTGTGTTCCACCGCCTTTGCTTGGCGAAGGGCTGTGCTGCTTAGAAATTTCAGGAGGTGGAGGCGTTGACGGATGTGAAGACTTAGAAATTTTTGGGGGTGGAGGTGCATTAACTATTTCAACTGAAATAAAATAAACGCAGTATTAACTGATATTAACTATCGTATGCTCATCATAGTAAATGCTTATGTACCTATGCAAAGTATATATTATTATTTGCTTTGATTCCCTCCAAATTACTTAATCTTGTACTTGAAATTGATAAATATGTTTCTGCGCAGACGAAACACGATATTATTTTCGAAACGATGACAAGGAGAAATAACAGAGATAAATGAAAAGTATTTTAGCTTATCTAACCGCTCGTAAATAATTACATTTTTGAAGCGGTGCGCGCGTAGTTAATTTTTTTACTAAAACACGCGACATTGAGAAAAGCCACTGTGCAACGTATTCGTATAATTTAAAAATAATGAATCAGATAATAACCATCACTATCATAATCCTTGCGTTCTTTTCTTCTATGCTTTTTGTGATGCCTGTGCTTTTCCGATTTCTCGCGCTCAGGCGTGTAGCTTCGTGAACGGCTACGGTGACGCTTCTTCTTAGCGTCCCGACTCTTCTCGGTCTTGTGTCGTTTATTCGAGCCCATTTTCAATCTTTTTAGTTACACGTACACCGTGTGATACACCGTTTTTCTTAAATTTTTCTAAAATTTACTATTTATTCGGCTCTAATTTGTCAATTCCTACTACCATCCACCATTTTTTCAATGCGCACTTCAAATGACAATACTATGCGAAGTGTGATGTAAATATTACCAACCATGTTTAGGAAAACCTAAAATATTTTCAGAAACAATTGTGTATCCAGCTTAAAAACCCGTTTCAATAATGGCGTTTTAAATTTTATGAAATATTTATTCTTTAGCTTATATTATTATACATAGGATTTAAATATCGGTTGAGATTTGTTTTTCAAGCTATAAAGAGTTTAAATTTTCGCTGAAGACATTCGCACGTGCGCAGTCCGCCATACATCAGCTTACGCATTTGAACAACAGGGAACGTTCAGTAATGTAATTTAATTCTAAATGCTTGGTTGTTATGAAAAATTAAAATTTCTATCTATATCGGTTTCTTTTATGATCTCTGTATCAATCCTTATATCGACCTGTATATAGGATTGTCTTTTTCATTTCTATATTCGCAAAAAAAATATGCAAATATATATTCTTAAAAAAGCATTCATAATCGTGAAATCTAGGAAAGTATAATTGTGAGAAAAATTTGTATATAAACTTGAGAAGAAACAGTCTAAGACCGATATGAGGATTGATATAGTATATTATTTATTATATCATTTACTATATTAAATTTGGTATTATTTAACAGTAATTTCATATGATTATCAAAATTTGATGCTATAAAATAAAAGTACGTGTTCATACTTTTTGTATGCACTGCATTCATTAACATTCTTTATTTTCGGTACCTGCGTACAACTATGTATATAAATTAAAAGTACTTAATTTTGTCCCAAAAATATTAAAATTATTAAAACAGATTCGTAATTGTATTCATGATCTATCAAGGCGCATACGCAAGAAATATTCGCTTGCATAATAAACTAGTAATTTTGTTTTTTTCATGATGGTTATAGTGGTGATTATAATGCAATATAACCTTGGTATTCTGACGTTTGGAAATTTGACGGCGGTGTTATTGTAAAAATGTAATGCGTTGTAAATAATTAATTTTCTTCGTTTTTCGCGTAGGGGAAAAATAAATACGTTTCGACGGAATGCGTAATGTGATATTTAAGCTAGATTACTTTTGCAATCATTTATTTTTAGCACAACAAGAATTTCTTAATAGACAAATCTTTCTCCTCGTTAACTATATTATTTTACAAGCGCATAAACACAGGTATAATATCTTGCAATATATTCATAAATATTTTAAGCGTTATATTACACGATTATAATAATAAATAGCATAATATGAATATTATCTTATGTAAATTTTTCCACGATCTCTTAGATTATGTATATGATAAATAATTTATTAATTATTGATTTAAATATGTGTAAGTCATAGAAATTTATGATGATCTTTTTCACCTATTTATTTTTTTTACTGTATTATATTTACATTTTTATGGAATTAGAAATTTGATAGATATAAAATCTTGTATATCTTTAAAAATTTAATAATTACATTATCTTTGTAGGTACTAATTAAGTTTGAAATTTATAAAAATATATATTGTACTGTCTTCTGGTACTATATGATAATATTTTTAATAAAATCTCTTTAGAGAATTTAATGTAATATTTTATATTTCAGGTAGTATTAAGATTACCAGTTACCATAAATATAATGATTGCAGAAATAGGCACAGAGGGCTTTCAGCCAATGACAAGTTTTACTGAAGAAAGGCTATTTAAGTTACAATGTTTGATTAAAGCAACAGAGATACAACACAGTGCACAATGTGAATATGGAAAAAGATTATTTTTAGCATTTACAACAGGAAATGCTGACATTTTTTTGTATTATAAGAAAGATTCAGTATCTACTGCAGTAATTAAAAGAATACCTTGGTTCCAAGGATCTCACAAACAAATCTCAGCTCTATGTTTTCATTCTATGGGATCATGGTTGCTCACTACAAGTGTTGATGGATCTGTATATATAATCCCTGCTCTATACTTCGTAGATGAAAATTGCGAGAAGGACAAAAGATGGACTAGTGATGATATAACTTCTTTTCCTTCTATTAGTTCACAGTCATCCCATTCAAAGTACATATCATAATTGAATTTGTAATGAAACATAATCATGAGTTAATGTTTCACTTATTATATTTTTATAATTTAAAATTTCTAGGCCTACTGCAATTGTATGGTGGCAAAGTATAGTAATACCAGCTGAAATTGGTATTATTGGAACTGAGTATGGAGAGATTATATTTATAAATCTTGAAACTGGCCATCAAACAAATGTCACACAAATCAAAGGGAATATTGCCAGTTTGCATATTTGTCGCGATCAAAGTAATGATATTGTATCTCTTCTGATAACAAGCCAATCCAGAGAACAGTGGAGATTACTTTTGGAGCAGCGTACATACAGTTGTTTGCATCATTTAGAGAATGGGGAATCATATAATACGTTGCATACAAATGATAACATGTATGATAATACCAAGATATTTGCTTCTACTAGATCCAGATTGCAAGGACTTAAACAGTTGTCTGTGGAAAAAATTGCAATTCTTAGACAAAAGTTAATAGAAACAAAAAATCAGACATTAGGAGAAAATTTACAATATCATGGTTTGTATATACACATAAAATTCAATAATTATTTAATTTTGTTATAGGCCATTAATGAGAATAATTTAACTTTTAACTACCTTTTTACTAATTTTACAGATATTACGAGCAATAGAAATACACAAAATATAACTATTAATTCTGACTCTTCTACAGAGGTAAATCAGAATCAGATAACACCAGAAGCAATGTCAAAAGATGTATTTCTAATGTCTCAGTTAGATAGGGATGGACAACAATTCTATACATGTTACCATTCTATTACAAATCAGATATTGGTATAGTAATATTTTATTAATTCTTAGTTATAATAATAAATATAATATAGAAATGATTTTAAAATTGCAGGTATATGGACCTAATTTTACTACTGTACCTTTATCAGCGCATAAAGTATTTGAATCATGTCGAAATGTTTTATTAACTCAGCGATTTTTTTTTATTACTGACGTCAGTCAACGTGTAATATATGTAATATCAGACAGATTATCCGAAACTCGTAAGAGTGATAATGGCAAATTTAATCCAGAGTGTATTGTTGGTCATTTTTCTTTGGTGAATAGTAAAGAAGTTATACGTGCAGTGTACAGAGCTATTGATTGTACAAATAGTGCACCAACAACACTTTCTGAAGAAATTAAACATAAATACACGTTACCAAAGGGAGTAAGAGATATTAAAATCGAATTACCTCATGTGGATACTTGTATAGTTGTAACAAATCATTCTGTATATAAAATTGTTTTAAGGTCAGTGTTATATCCTTATTATATCTTATTAATTTCATCAAAATTCACAATAATCATATCGTTTTCATTTGCAGGAAATCAATATTATCAATTTTTATGGAACTAGTATTAAAAAATAATGAACTTGAAAAAGCAGCAAAGTTGGCTATAGTACTCGGTATTAATGCACAACAATTATTAGAGCAAGCTGGTGATATACTTTTAACTAATAAAGAATTTCCACGTGCTGTAGCTTGCTATAAATTGTCTAAAGTAAATATAAGAAAGATGTTAACATTGTTTCCTCATTTAAATTTGTCTATAATTTTTATGATTACTGTTTTTTCAGTGTAGAATAATGAAGAGTATGTTAAAATTTGCTTCTGTTGGTTATACAGCGGATTTATTACGTTGTCTTACACATTGTTTAACTTCCCCGGTTATTAGCGAAATGCCTGTTGCACCAAGAATACATCTTTCTAACTTATGTGTTCTCTCTTTTATCGAACGAACGCTTCGAGCTTCATCTCAAAAGTCCAAGGCTATATATAAAGAATTTTTGTAAGCATTTAACTAAAACTCGTTCAGATATGACTTATACAAATTTTATGAAGAAAATATTCAATAAAAATCATTTGGATTTTAGGTATTTCTTATCTACAAATTCTTTTTACGATGAATTGTTAGCAGTTAATATCGCTGGACAGACGTGTCTGTGGGAAGTGTTACATCATTTAGCAACACAGAAGGGCCTTTATGGACAAATGTTAGATATTCTTATGAGGACAATACATACTTTCAGCACAAGCAATTTCCAACCAACACCATGTAATACATAATTATAATTACAATATAGTTTAAAGATAGTTATGTAATTATTCATAAAACAATTTTTTTAGATGGTTTGTTGATATGTATAAGTGAACCAAGTCTAATGCAAGCAATGTTAGTCTATCCTGAGTTAGCTAGAAGTCATATGTCATTTATTCTTGATAATCTTCAAGACTCTCAAATTTTTGTACTTCAGGTAGGATTTAAATTGTGTTTATGGCATAAATACGTTAATAGCATATAATATAATATAAAAATAATTAATGGAAATATTTTTATTGTGTTTTAGAGATTAGTAACACTATACGATCCAACGAATCCAGTAATAAGACCTAGGGTAGTGCGATGCCGATTACGTCATAGAACTACTTCGCACAGTTCTCAATCTAGTCAATGTGATTCTATAGATCTCGTGGAAAATGTATGTATAATTAATTTATTATTCAATTAACTCATTCGTTTATTCATATAATTATCATCTATTTCTTTTTCTTATGTAGGATGAGGCTGATACACTCATAGAAGAAATTATAGAAACTTTTTTACTAATTTTACTGACTTTGATTTGTAAAAAATCTATTTTACATCAAGAATCTATTACATGTAACATTGAATTATTAGAATTTAAGAAGGTAATTATCACATAAACTGCATAGTATTTCATGTTAAATAGATAATCATATATTTATATAATTTAAACTAGGATCATAGAAATACTAATTCTGGTGCTGATTTCAAAAGAAGACCATTATGTGCTGGATTTTCTCATGTTGCTCTTATTAGGAACGGAAATGTTTATACATGGGGGAGTTCTGTGCATGGATGTTTGGGTAAATATACATGCAATTAAAGACATATTTTTTTATAGCCTTTGTATGTATTATACTTATATTAATTATTATTAGGAATTGGTCCATCTGTATTGAGATATGGTTCACCTCAAGCTATAACTTTTTTCTGGCTTATGGAAGTTGAGGTTCTCAGTGTATCTTGCGGTCACTGTCATACTCTGGCAGTAACTAATAACGGCGTTTACGCGTGGGGTTCAAGTCAGTTTGGTCAACTAGGTCTGGGGAAAGTTTTACAATGTTCAACCCCTGAATTGATCACTTCTTTGGCTCAAGAAGTCATTATTGATGCTGTAGCTGGACAATACCATTCAGTAGCATTGACTGCAGATGGTAGAGTTTTCACATGGGGTTGGGGTGTTCATGGCCAATTGGGTCATGGTAATACTGACAAAAAAATGACTCCCACGTTAGTTACGTCTTTACTTGGTACCGTTATACGTTACATTACTGCCGGTCATGCACATACATTAGCTCTTTCAACAGAGGGTATCGTGTATGCATTTGGTTGTAATATTTTTGGACAATTGGGTGTGGGTAGTAATGTTAAGAGTTCAGTGCCAATGAAAGTTTCGTTATCAGAAAGAATAACTCTTATCACAACTGGATATTTTCACAATGTAGGTAAAAAAGTTTATTGGATTATGATCATTTATCATATTAAAGTAAATAAAAGAAAAGATTACACATGTTTGCTAATGACATTATTTTTTGTTAGCTTGCTGTTAGTTATACAAATAAGTTATATATATGGGGAGCTAGTCCCCAAGTTCTCCGATTGCAAGCACAAACGCAAAAACGAACTCGAATATTGGAACAACGAGACTTGAAGCAGTTTGAAAATATTGACGAGTTCGAAAAAGTCACGGATTCTGCAAACATGAATGATACAAATGAAGAAGTCTTAGAAAATAATGCACAAAATAGAAATGTACAATCAAAAGCATGCGGTATTAGTACAGAATCGCGAAAAAAATTAGATAACAGTTGTTTAAAAAGTGTAAACGTCGGGTCCCTTGAAGAAGCTCAAACACATTTAAAACCAACCATTGTAGATACGAGTTTAGTCAAAGGGGATATCATCCGGGTTAGTTGGAAGATTCTCTTTAACAAGATTATTATTTTATCGTATTTTATCGTTCTTTTTTTTTATTTTGACATTTTTTTCTATATTTAAATTTTATAACACATCTATTAATAATAATGTAACAGATATCGGCTGGTTGCCATCACAATGCTCTCATAACGAAGGATGGATCGCTTTATATGTGGGGCAGAAATTTGGATGGTCAGATAGGCAATGGTAGCAGACGGGAAGTGCCGATTCCTACGCCACTGTGTTACAATCCTGCTTCGATTTTTGCACAAGTACCACCAAGGCATAATGCTTACAAACGAGTGGAAGAGGAACAAGATTTAAACGACGATGTAAAGAATTCTGCGGTGAACGAGAAAAATGGAAATGTACATGATGAAGCCAGATCATTCCAGGCAGAAAGTAGTAAATCCAAGGAAAAAATAAACCCTATAATTAAAACTGTTGCAATTCACTGCGGATACGATTATACAGTCGCTATTCAACCAGGTATCTAAACTTCATAATATGTTGTGCTGACGAATGTTAAAAAGAGCTTGAAGAAAATAAGTTTTATTTTTATAGTACAAAATTTAGCTTCATTATCCCCTTATGCTTCTAGATGTAGACTTTTTAATTAGTTTAAAGTTAATTAGTTTAAGTGATTATTCTTGTTAAATAGTTTCAGGTTCTGCTATCAACAATATTTTCATTTTTCGCTGTATTCTCTTTCAGGAGGTACAGTTCTAGCTTGGGGTAATAATAGTAGAGCACAATTAGGTCGGCTTCCTGCAAAAGATGCACGTGACACCGACGATAAGCTTGTGTTGATTAAAAAGCGAGTTGTACGGCTCCCTCACGCATCGCATGTAGCTTTGGACGTGCCTAGTCAAGTTCCTAATATTCCCGCTCCCATTATTTCTTATCAAAGTTATGATATACCCTCTCTGGCGGGTATAATTCGTCCTTTAAGCGTTATCGAAAAATCACCAGGAGAATTGACGCTACATTATGCATTAGAATATTTCTCTGGTTTATATGATTCCTCAAGAATTATAGAGAAGGTTGGTTTTTTACTATCTTACATAATTTTTAAAAGAATCAACTAAAACTTATAGTTCTATAGCGATATATTAATACAAATTTTGTATAATTAATAATTTTATATCTATATTTTTAGTGTGTCGAGTTGGGAAACTATCAAGCTTGCTCAAAAATAGCTATGCTACAGCATAATATTTCCGATGCGTTTTCGTATCAATTGAAAATTTTACATGTATTGAGTCTGCAATCTTGCTCAAAAGTGAAGTCTGAAAATTTGCGCGAAAAGACAGAACGAAAGTCTTTGGATGAGTCTAATTTAAAGAAGTCTTCATCAGCACATCACGTTAGAAAAAACACTGAACTTTTTAACAAACAGATAGAGAAGAATCTGATTGATTCTGTAAAAGATTGCGCCGCTAGGAACAAAATGAAAATTCCTGCAAGCAAATCATTGAATAGTCTGCAAACGCTTCAACAAGAACTATACACATTCGATTGTCAGGGTGGCTTAGAAGAACTGTGCAGAGATATTAAATGTGAAAATGCACCTATGGGGATTTTCGGGGATAGTTTCGATTCTGACACTAGTTCTGATTCGGAGGAATGGTTGGAAAGTCTTATTTTCAAGGAAAACCAATTACCAAGGCAAAAAAAAGCAGAGACATCCACTAAAGATAGTTCTTCTCCTCCTTCTACTCCTATGAAGGAAGGTATAGATCAGTTGCCCAAAAGCAACGGGACATTTTATGAAAAGAAAATTGCTCGATCTCGGCAGAATAATATAACCAATGAAGCTATAAAAGTTATTAAGTTTTTCTTGAATGAAATGGAAAACGAAGTGGACACTATCAAGTGTAAAATGTTACAAGATGCACTGGAGTTCTGGATTAAACACGATTTACCGATACAAAGTATAGAGAATATATTTTTGGAACACATTCAATCGATCTTTTATCCCCTTGGATTGCTGTTATTCTGGTAAATTTATTATATTTATTTATTGTACGTTTTTAAATAACGTCGTCATAATCATAAAATATTTTTGCAGCCAAGAGATCATGGATAAATATTTGGATATAAATAAAAATAATAGCGAAGCTAAAAACTTTATTGCAATTAACTGTTTTTCTCTTAAGTTTTGTCTTCAAGTATGTTCCATGTTATTACATCATATCGATCAAAGTAAGCAATCTTACGTTTTAAAATATCATATTGAATATAAATACTTTATACTAAATTATTATCTATTTATCTTAGGCCAACCTATGCCTGAGTTCATTAAACTATTATCTTCCTTAATGGCTGACCAATTTGGACCGCCATTGACTGGATATCCAGGCTCAAGTGGAAATAATACTCCAAAAGAAATGATGGAAGGAGTTATAAGCACTGTGTCTTCTAATATTCATGACTCCAAATCTTTTGTACACATTAAGGTAGATTATAAAATTATAGTACATTTATTTTATTAAAATATTGCTTAAATTAACAATTATTTTTATAAACATTTATTTATGAAATCAGGATCCGGATGCAGTATATCGATTTCTCGAGGCTGAAGAAGATACAATGATATTCACGTGTGGACATCATTTTCCATTAGCTACATATAAAACCGAAGTAATTCCAACGATGGAAACCGAATTACTGGGATCCGAATCATTAGTTCTTCCACATACAGCCCAGTACTTAGGAAAAATGTTATCTCAGACTACTAAGCCGGAAATACTATGTCCTTTGTGTATACCGAGAGCATTGGAAACATTGGCGAAGAAACATGGTGGGTGAGAAGTATGTACCTGACATTTTATTTTAACGAAAAAGAACAAAATGACAGAAAAAGGTGACATATAACTTTTTCTTAGAATCTTAACGAACTCTAAAATTGTACACGTGAAAGAGTGAACTTTTAAATTAATTTTAATGAACTAAAACATTAAACCAACACTGAAATGTAGTTAATGTAAATTAAAATAACAATTACGTTTAAATTTATTGACAACACTTGCCATCGCAATTGCGTTATATTCAATAAACATTACAAAGCACTGCAAACAACTAAAGCTCTCTATATCTTTGAAATTATATTTTTTAGATTATCTATAGATATAGATAATTCTACATAGACATCATTATAGTGCACTATATGTTTCATTACTTGAGAACATGCATCTTGTCCAATATCAGGAGGATTATTTCATTATGCACTTTAAAATTGAACATATTCACTGAAACTAGATACATATTATGTGTTCATGAATTGTCAAGTGATATTTCAAATACTTTACTAAAATCATCATGAATTAACAAGGGATAACATTAAGTATTAACATTTTGAGTATACACATTTAAATTTGTGAATCTCAGAAAATTAAAAAAGATGTAGTGAAATATATCATTTTCAATTAATATTCAACATCCAGTCAGCACTATATTTTAAAAGATAAGTTAGAGATTCAAATACAACGATGTAACGTGAGGAATAGCGAACCAGAAATGATTTCCTTTTTGGACTTTGTTTATGAAACGATTTTATCTCAGATTGTACAAATTTTAGAATTGATATTTTACAAGCATTGTTTTTTATGAATATGATAATAATATTGTTAGTGAATTTTAATTTATACTGCTTGAAATATTCCTTTTAGCAGATTTTACATTTTATTTGAGAACTAATTGCTTATCATTATCTGTTATATCTTATTACACTTTTAACTTTTAATTCAACTGAAAGATCCAGATATTGTGTTGTAAAATACATAAACGGCTATAAAAAAATATGTCAATAAGATATGAAATTTATTAACACTTTCGTGATCGATGGCACGATACTACGTATTTTTCCTTTTTTTTGTTTCATGATTTTATCAGACCTCAGGGGATACCCTTTCTACAATTTTCGTAAGAGAGAGAAGGGGTAGATATATGCATAACAGAGTTGAATGAGAAATGAATCAATGCGGGCGCGAAAGTGTTAATATATTTGTTAACCAAATAATACTTACTGTGAAGCCATAGTATAGAATTGTACAGTAGTTATAGAAACATTGTAAAATATATAAAGAAAAAAAAGGAGATAAGATTAGGAAATGGACACAGCTATTATCTGTGCAATCTTATAAAATTGGTGCAAAGTGTTAAGGACTGATGAAAAATGTATTGATCTAGTCTTCGAAGTATATGCCAGAATATATTAGTTGATCTTAGAAGTGGGAAAAAATAGATCATTAATAAAAAAGATATACATATATATATATCATGTGATTCTTTGTGAACTTAAGTTGATTAGATGATCAATGTATTGACATTGTAAACGTGTAGATCTTGTACATAGAAAATTGTTTATAAAGTTAGAAGCTTTTGGTTACAGATGAAGCAAATTCATAGACATATTCTGTTGTATTTTTTAAAGTAGAATTGCATGGAAGTGGAAAATAATACTTGCGTATGCGAGGAAACTTTTCCATTATCATTTTAGTGACCAATATAAATGAAGGTTTAGAAATTAATTAATGCAAATTGTGGAATAAAATGAATATTCTTTATTGTTAAAATTATATTATTAAATTGTAGAGCTAAATGAAGGTGTAAAATTATAATAGCACAAAATGAATAAAATAAATAGTATATGTATGTACATCCAATTTCTCGCACAAAATAATGTAAGTTAGAAGTAATAAAAAATTAATTATTGACATGCAAAAGAATTACTCACAGATATACATTGTGTTGAGTCATTCATTATCATTCAAAAAAGTATTTAAATAGTGATCAGTCTCATTAAGAAGAAAATAAGTAAGTTTAAAGATTTCGTAACAAAATGATAAAGAGAAGTAGAAATACTTGTGAAGTGATCTTTAATATTCTTTGGCGAATTTTTAATACTTCCCTTATATTTAAAAATTATAAATACCTTCATTTAGTTCACAGGAAATATTTTTTTATCAGACATTTTACTAATTTCCTAAATGTGATATTAAACAAAATTTATATTACTTATTTTAGATGCTTGAAATTGTTGTTTTTATTTTTCCTTTCATAGAAAATTTAAAATTGTAAATAAGGAAACAGTATACGTATCATTTAAGAAAGTGCAATATTTTAAGCAAAAATAACATTGAATAATATCTAAATCCTTCTTTTACAAAATTTACGTATTTAACACGTGTGATACCTTTTTCTATTAGCTATTCTTTTTAAATTGTATAATATATTTGAAAGCATATAATATATGTATAGTATATATTATATTCTCGACATATAGGTCTCCAACTTATTTCTCGATACTTAACATACGGGTATAATGTTATTAAAATAATAATCAAGAAACTTAAACAAAATTTCTTAAAGATAATCTATTCTATACAAAATATATAGATTATGTTTTTCTTCATGTAAATTGCATTATTCTTTATCCATATTAAACATATAGTATGTATATGGCATACCGATTGAAATAAATTGTTTATTTAAGTTCCAACAAGAAATATCGATACATTTCTTTTGCGTAAGTTATATTAAATTCAATATACAGTATGAAATTGTTCTTAAAGTTCTAATTCTATGTATGTGAACAGCTGCAATATTCTTGTAATATACATCCGAATGTATAATTTTGAATGTCTTATACATATATGAATTATGAAGTCTTTCACTGATAGTATTTAAATAATTAAAATATTGGATCACAATAAATGCAATTAAAATAATTTTTTTTCTTTTATTTCAAATAAAATCCATCCAAATATTGCCTTCCAGATAAATAGCTTGAATTGAGTAGCTTTAAAAAGAACTGTAAAACAACTTATTATCTTCTTAAAATTTTTTATTAGAAAATACATATCCAAAAATACATATCTTTCTTTAAGTTACAAATTGCTTTTTTCGCTAGTTTGCACACTATTATCCTCACACGCGATCCCTTACAAAAAATCTGTTCTTACTTTTAAGAAGTATTTTCTTATAATAAAAACGATACTGTAAAGTATAAAAAAGAGCATTTGTTTGAAAGAGTAAACATAAAGAAAAATGTTTTAATGAATATGAAAATTATGTTCGACGTTCAAGTAGAAATCGTCGTAATACTACTTTTAGGTTTAATATAATAAAAAAACCTAACAACTATCTGTTTAATCTCTGTACAGACTACGATCTCTGTACGGATTCAATTTGAAATTTAATATGATCCTTAATTTGAGAATCTCTCTAGTCCTCGTTGTAAATACCTTACTTTTGATAAAAAAAAAAGAAAAAAATACAATTAGATGTATATCGATGTTACTCAAATTTTCCACGATATTTAAGGATCAAACGATTGGATTAAAGCTTATCCACGTTAGAAGCGAGACGATCGAGCTCTTCACGAATGGCTGCAGGTAAATCATCGCCTACTTGCGCATCGAAATATTCCCTAAGGTGCTCAACTTCCTTTTGCCAGAAATCTTTCGGTAAACTGAACAATTCCTCCATATCTATATTCTCCTTCAAGTTTTCCAAATTGAACGACTGTAATTTTGGTAATAAACCTATGGCAGAATCTACGGCAACGTCTTCGCCGTCGAGCCTTCGAAGAATCCAGTCTAGAACGCGTGAGTTCTCGCCATATCCTGGCCAAAGGTACTTGCCATCCGCATTCTTCCTGAACCAATTCACGTGGAATATAGCTGGTAGCTTGACATTTTTCACTTCGGTCATATTCAGCCAGTGATTGAGATAATGTCCGAAATTGTAGCCGAAGAAGGGTCTCATAGCAAACGGATCGTGCATGATTGCTTTGTCCTGATTATCAATTGTTATACAAATTAGTTTCTCAACATAGAGTTGAAATAGAGAAGCACGATGAAGAATTTATATCTCCCTTTTAAATTTCTCAATACATTCGAGACTAGCGTATTCTAACAATAATTTTCTAGTTGCAATCGAAAATTGGCTGATAATTAGACTGAGTATTTATTCAAATTCAGACTTTTATGAACACACAAATAAAAAAAAATGGAATCTAAGCAGAGATTCACTTCATTCATAGTCGGTACTGTAATTTTGATATTTTATACACATATTTTTGCATATTTCTGCATTGTGTGCTTTTTCACACCTTTAAATTTCTCATAAATGTATGTACAGAAATTCCTAGTCTACTGACAATATAAATCTTTGCAGACGACCCATGCGTTAAGTCCTCAGTCATGGATCAGCCGTCATCGTTAGTTTAATCAGGGATCGTATAATTTAACAATGTCTGAGACACCGGTCTCGAATTGGTTAATAAAGTACTTTGTATAAGTAAAAATCCTAATTTAGTATAGAATAATTCTTTGGTGATCTTTTTTCATATGATCCTTCTTCGAATTATTACGTACCGTATGTTCCGCTGCAGCAGTAGCTTCAGACCTCATCGAAGCTCCAATGAAAACACCATGTTGCCAGTTTCTAGCTTGATATATAAGAGGAATACCTTCTGGTCTTCGTCCTCCAAACAGAATAGCATCGATGGGAACACCTGTTGGTTCTTCCCAAGCAGGATCGACAATAGGACATTGTTTGACTGGTGTACAGAATCTGGAATTGGGGTGCGCTGCTGGGGTCCTAGATTCTCTGGTCCACTTTTTGCCTCGCCAATCGGTGATCTATACAAATATGTTTACTTAGGGAAGTTTTAGGAAATGTTGAGTTTTTAAATTTCTTATAAATAGAAAAACATCCGCAGTTTAATGATAAGGATTTTTTAAATACTTTCATGCGTAATAATGAATTCCTACTTCAACGTCATCGCTGATTTCTTTTTCCAATCCCTCCCAGAAGACTCCTCCGTCGCTGGTTGCGGCCACATTGGTGAAGATAGTGTTCTTGAAGATAGTTCTCATAGCATTAGGGTTGGTAGCGCTATTGGTTCCGGGTGCCACGCCGAAGAATCCATTTTCTGGATTTATAGCACGGAGTCTGCCTTCCCGGTCGAATTTCATCCAGGTGATATCATCTCCCACGCACTCGACTTTGTACCCTGGTAACGTCGGCTGCATCATGGCTAGGTTGGTCTTGCCGCAAGCACTGGGGAACGCTGCAGTAATGTAACGCTTTCTACCTTTTGGATTTGTGATAGCCAGTATCTACAAAAGGTAACTGATACAGAATCTTAAGCGACTAATGTACTTGCAAGTGCCAAGTAACGATTGAAATTGATTATAAGAGTAATAGTGAAGTTGTCACTGCTTTGATATCTTAAAAACTAAAAATTTTTATTTTTATTTAAAATGTAGGTTTTGATATTTATGACAATTGTCTTTAATCTATATTGTGAGTCTTGATGTTCAAGACATACACAAAATTGACTTTAATCTATATTATATCAATTTAGAGTTTAAAACAATTGCTTTTAATTTATATTAGAAACGAAGCTTAGTATTTGAGATAATTGTTCTTAATCTATATGATAGTAATCTCTGTAAAATTAAACTTTGATACAATTGCCTTTAAAGGTTTCAACATATTACATGCAAGGTGAAGTTGCGAATTATTATACAGTGTTACGTACAAGCATATGTTCTGCAAACCATCCTTCATCCCTAGCAATAGTCGAACCAATTCTCAGAGCGAAACACTTTTTTCCAAGCAAAGAATTGCCACCATAACCGCTACCGTAAGAAACTATTTCATTCTTGGCTGGTTTATGAAGAATGACGGTCCTTTCAGGATCACAGGGCCAGGAAGAGTTAACTTCAACCTTGGAGTCTCTTTTTGGTACACCGACAGAGTGCAGACATTTAACGAAATCTTCATTGCCAAGGGTTTCTAGGACTTTTTTCCCCATCCTAGTCATTATCCTCATGGAACAGACGACATATGCGGAATCTGTGATCTCTATTCCAATCTTTGACAGAGGTGAGCCCATTGGACCCATGCTGAAGGGGATGACGTACATTGTTCGACCTGGATTATTAAAATGGAATTATAAGTTTGTTTTATTTACTAAATTGATTAACTCAGATTAACTCGACATCAGTATTTGATTATGAATCGATTATTGCTTGATTATCAATCAATCCTTGAATTGTAAGTAAAATAATTGTTCGATTAGAAAAGTGAACTATGAAATAGAGTTTGGAGTGTGAAATAATCGTTTGTTCCAAAATTAGGTAAAACCAGTAGGGCCAATCTTAGCAAAATATACCGGTCTCGGATATGTTATGGAATTAGATATACTTTTTCAAGGTTTTGGAGTTACCTTTCATGCATCCTGGGAAACGTTCAAGAATAGCTTTGTCCATGTCAACCGGAGAAATCCAGTTACCCAGTTCTCCGGTAACACCGTTACGTGGAGTAGGAATAGTATCGCGTTTGCAGTCGGTGCTGATGAACGTGCATTTCTCGACGCGCGCTACGTCCGCTGGATTCGTTCTAGCAAGCCAACTAAAAGTACAATTTATATTACGTTAATTATGTACATTGAAAATTCCCTTTCAAATAACTACGGAGTTTTCATTAGAATTTTGAGAGCATAGGAAAATAGTTTGCATACTGTGTCCTTTAACAACAAGTCTAAGCAAATTTTTTTAGGTTTTTGAGTTACAAAAAGATCCCCAAAATTCTTAAATGATTTTCTAAGTTTTTAGAATATCATTGAATAGTTTTTATTGTTACACGTTATCTTAATTTTATTAAGCAAAGCAAAATTTAAACAAAAATAAATATGGAAGAAATGGAAAACCACTTTAAATCACTGGTCGAAAACGACTTATCATGCA